GGCAGCCCACCTACCTACCCCTGTACCAGTCCACAAATCTCAACTCACCAAGATTCTTCTAAGCCCTTCTCTATTTACAAGGAAGAGGCCTGCTGGGGATGCACTCCACACACAGAGAAAAGTTCTATCTATCTATATTTGGGAATGCAGTCTCTTTCATTTTAAGATTTTATTTATTTATTTGACAAGTGAGAGACACAGCAAGAGAGGGAACACAAGCAGAAGGAGTGGGAGAGGGAGAAGCAGGCTCCCCGCTGAGCAGGAACCTCGACGCAGGACTTAATCCTAGGACCCTGGGATCATGACCTGAGCCAAAGGCAGATGCTCAACAACTGAGCCACCCAGGCGCCCCAGGGAACTCAGTCTTTTATTCATGCGTATGAATGGGAAAAAAAACTCCAACAGACATTTGAGGAAAAACAGTGGCTTCCAAGAGAAGCTCCAAGATTGAATAAAACAGAACTGACCCTGGATGAAGTAGAAATTACAGAAACAGAAGGTAATCTTAGAAAAACAATTCTATTCTAGTGAATTCTTTAGAGAGTCTCTAGACATAATGCATATATAAAAGAACAGATTAAAACGAAAACTAAGTGATCAGAGATTGGGAAAGAAATTATAAATAGAATTATCAAAGTGAAACTTTTATTAGAAAGAATAGAAGGTAATATTTTAAAATAGGAGAGAAAAATTAAGAGACATTGGTCAATTGTAGACACCAACAGGAAGGGAGGTATTGTGCTTTCCCAAAAGGAAGAAGCCTACTTTACGATTCCAGCAGGAGAAAGGAAGAATTTCTGACTGGCCAGCAATAAGCTCAACCAGTAATACCACAACTCAACCAATGAGAAACTGTCACCACCCTAAACTCTCACTTTCTTCCAATGGACTTCTGTTCAAAGCAGCCCCTCCCAACTTCCTTTCTCTCTATAAAGTAAGGTTCCTCTCCTTTGATCTTTGGACTTCTACGTTTTGCCATACTTTGCGTGTCCCAAATTACAATTCCTGTGCTATTCCTGAATAAACTGATTTTGCTGGTAAAATAACTGGCTCTTTTAAGGTCAACAAGTCCAATACCAGTTTTGTGTCAATTTCTAGATATCATCTGAAGATACAGTTGGATCTCTACCCCCTCTGTGCTGCAGCCTGGGTTTCAGTTCCACATGAGTGGCTTTCTCCCCACTCAGAGCTCTGGAAAATCGGTATATCAATCCCCAGTCCCTTTATCTCCTCCCTGCCCTCCACTTCATTCGAAAGCTCTAAACTGTGCACCCTTGGGCAGGTTCTTTTTCTGAAGTGCATTTCTTCACCTACTTACCTTAAAAATTAGTTTATAAATCAATAAAGAACATGGGAGTAAGATTTTGTCAACTTCTAAGAGTTAATTTAGCATCCCACAGGCCCTTTTACTTCCTCACACACTCCTTACACTTCCTGTAAGTTGAGGACCAGAGTTTTACTCTTCTTCAAAGACTTCCGGATTTTGATAAAAGAGAGACCAACTGACTGTGGTCATCTGATACTGCCTTACAAACATTTCAAAAAACATACCTTCCCAAAATGAAGCCACTCTTCTGTTAAAGTATACTTTATCTGACTAGTTTAGAAAAGCCATGCTTGTCATCTACGTGTGGCAACCTAAAGAGGAAAAGTGTGGTAAGTGGAAGTCTAAAAGGCATTGTCACCCAAACACTAATTAATACAGGCCTATGGTTAGCCCCCGTGAGGTTCCTATGATACCTCTTTCTATCTCTCTGAAGTTCAATACAGCTCCATACGTATTCCAACAGCGGACTGGGATGGAAGATGAGAACCACAGCCTCATTAAGTCACAGCACAACTGAAGTCACTCGTAGCCCAAAGCCTCTCAACAATCACCAACTACTGCTCTCACCCTTGAGAAGCTCCTGAAAGCTGAAGCTCCCAGAAAGTAGAGTGAACACAGAAACCAGACAAGCATAGTCATCACTTTCCTTTCACTATATTGATGAACAAATAATGAGAATCTAGATCTTAATTCCAAGCCATCTTCCTACAATTCACATGTTCTCCTGTACGCCATCCAATACCCTAAGTCTTGTCACCGATTCAAAAATCCCTGCAATAAGCTATAGTGTGCAAATAGTCTTGACTTGTTTTCCCTAGAACCTCCCACCTATGACTCCTGTTAAGTCCCTGCTCAATGGCAAAGTCTAAGCCTTCTCTCCCTGTAGCAGCGACACTTTCCTTGGGCCTAACTGGGGATCACGAACCAAATGAATTTACCTGATCTGAATATGTCATTACTAGGGTACCACCCCTCAGGTGATGGAACCTATCACTGGGGATGCATCCATTTCTCCAGCAGGCTGTTTCTGGAGCACCTAGTTTAAGTCACTTATTTAATTCATGTTTTTTAAAAATATTTTATTTATTTATTTGACAGAGAGAGACACAGAGAGAGAAAGCACAAGCAGGGGGAGTGGGAGAGGGAGAAGCAGACTTCCTGCCGAGCAGGGAGCCTGATGCAGGGCTCGATCCCAGGACTCTGGGATCATGACCTGAGCCGAAGGCAGACGCTTAACCAACTGAGCCACCCAGGTGCCCCTAATTCACTTTTTTTTTTTTTTAGGAAAAAAACCTTTGTGGGAAGAGGTATGTCTATCAATCAAATTCAAATAAAACACCGTCCTATTCTCTCTACTACCTTACCCGGTGGTATTCTGAATTTGGGCAGTGTTTTGATGACAGATGACTAGTCTATGTAAAGAAACTTCAATAGTGTTTTTGAAATAAAAAAAAAAAAATGCCATAATTTTTTGTAAAGATATGAGAAGAAAAAGATATAAACTTGCATCTTACAACCCTCCTGTGGTAAGCAACAGCTTCTGCTGCTCTATTCCAATTTCCAGATCAATCCTTCTTGATTTTCCACTTCCTTCTGCACACCTGGATAATGTACAAACTCTTTACCTTGTCTTAGAAGGCCCTACATGATTTTGCCCCTTTTTAAATGATTATCTTGCTAAACTTATCTTTCACTGAGATATTTTGTTAACCAACCAGGCTAGTCTCCTTCCTGTCCTTCAAACAATTTTTATTTTCTGCCACCATACCCTTGCTCATACCATTCCCTCCAATCTGAAATGCCCTCCCCAAAAACCATACTAATCAGAACACTGGTCATTCTTTATGAAAAAGTTCAACTTCTACCTCCTCCATGAAGTCGCGGCTGAAAATGATTAGTCCCTCCCTCTAGTCACTCACAGATCTGTTTCTCCCTGACCAAAAAATAAGCTCCTAATGGAAGAACTGTATCTGTACTTCTCTGCATCCTCACAGTCCCCAGTACAGGTGACTACACACTGTAAGTGTTCTTTAAACATATTTATTCAATGAATGCATGCATACTTTCACACCTGCAGAACAATATCACGCTAGAAACAAATACTACTAACCATTTTTACCAAGGCAAATAAAAACAGGTTTAAAATGTCATGAAAATGTCATTCTGATTTGCCTCAGGTATACAGGTATACTCAAAACCTGTTAAGTAAGGAAGAACCAAACTCACCCACCAAGTCAGAGAACTATGCAGACATTTCATATTATTTCTACATAGTAAAGAAAAAATCATTTTTTATCAAAGTAAAAAAATAGCTTAATCAGCATAAAATCACAATGTGACATGCGAAGTTAAAGCAATGTCAAGAAGGAGTTTTTTGTAGTTTTTTTTCGGGTTTTGTTTTGTTTTGTTTGAGAAGTTTTAAATAGTCTTGGCTGAATCAGTACTTCCTGTCTGAGAAATAGTGAATAATGATTAAGTGCCCCAAACCTCAAGCCCAGAATAGTTAAATATTTATGCTGAATGATAAATAGCAAATTGGGGGCACTCTAATAAAAGCAGAATGATTTTTAAAAAATAATCAAGCTGGGGGCACCTAGGTGGCTCAGTCGTTAAACATCTGCCTTCGGCTCAGGTCATGATCCCGGGGTCCTGGGATCGAGCCCCACGTCGGGCTCCCTGCTCCGCGGGAGGCCTGCTTCTCCCTCTCCCACTCCCCCTGCTTGTGTTCCCTCTCTCGCTGTGTCTCTCTCTGTCAAATAAATAAATAAAATCTTTAAAAAAAAAATAATCAAGCTGGTTTATACTTCATTTAAGAGTCCTCAACTAATGAAATATCTAATAAGTATTCATGATTAGGGCAAAAGAAATTCTTAAATGGCTGCAGATACACTACAGTCTTGCTATCCCCAAATATTATGAGGTCCATCACATATTCCTATCTAACATAGAAGTCCAAAATGCAGTTATTATTTGATTTTTTTTCAACTGAACAACAACTACATTAGGTCAGATTCCTTGTCTACCCAAAACAAAAATCAGTGTCAGACAGTGACAGAATCGAGGAGAGTCAGGACTGTACTTCAAATGTCAGGGACATGGTGATGATGATGATAATTACAATAAATAATAACAACAGCAAACACTTTTATAGCACTTATTACATGCCCCATGTGGCTCTAAGATCTTTATATATGTCAATTTATTTAAAACCTTAAGAGAACTCTGAGACAGGTGTAACTAACTTATTTATAACCTGTATAATCCCATTTACAGATGACAGAACTGAGGCACAAACAGATTAGCCTACTCACGGTCACAAACTTCATAAACTACAAGACCAGAATTCAAATGCAGGAAGTCCAGCTCCAGAGCCCGGGCTCCTAAGCACATGCAGTATCCCTTTCCTAGCTAACTCCCAAGACACACATATCCCCTTTATCACCTTCTGAGTACTTCTCCACCCTCATTGCTGCCTTCCTCCTCTTTGAAACCTGCTCACTTTAATTCTTCTTCAAAACAAATTTTCTGAGAAATACTGGACGTGATTCTTGTAGCCTGTTCTGGGTAATTTCAAATCAGTTCTTGGTTTGAAGAATTCTCAGCTTCTGAGATACGAAAGTTCAGTAGCACTTCACATCTGTTACCTGAAGGAAGAGGGTCAGGAAACACTTACTAGTATCTGGAGGTTTCTCTTCAGATCTGCCAAATAAAAACTCATATTTGGCCTTGGCAACACTCTGGGAATGCGCTGATGCATTGTTAACCCAAACAAATGTCTCTGCCTGCAAAATTAAAACATAACAAAGACATCATTTAAAACATATCATAAAAAATACACCATAAAGCAAACCAACCACAAGAGAATGGTTAGAATGACGTATCTACTTGACAGAATGCTACACAGCCATTAAAAATGAAACATGAAAAATATAGCACAACAAAAAGCAAAATACAAGATGATCACTGCAAGATTACAATTACATAGAAAAATAAACATACATCTATAGGGGAATAAGAAAAATATGAAAACTTTGGATTGATGGGAGTGCAGAACTGTGGTACAGTATCTTTTTTTGATTAAAGTATAGTTGACACAGAACATATTAGTTTCAGGTATACAACACAGTGATACAGAATGCTCACTATGATAAATGTATTTACCACCTGTCATCATACAAAGCTACTCCAACAGTATTGACTCTATTCCCTATACTATAATTTTCATCCCCATGACTTATTTTATAACTGGAAATTTGACCTCTTAATCCCCTTCACCTGTTTAGCCCATCCTCCCACCCCTCTAGCAACCACCAGTTTGTTCTCTGCATTTATGTTCTCTGCACTTATCTCTATTTCTGGGTATATTTGTTTGTTTGTTCACCGATTTTGTTTTTTAGATTCTACATATAAGTGAAATCATGTGGCATTTGTCTTTGACTTATTTCACTTAGCTTAATACACTCTAGGTCCATCCACGTTGTGGTAAATGGCAAGCTTTCCATCCTTTTTATGGCTATTATGCCACTGTACATATACACCACATCTTATTAATCCATTCATCTGTGGATGGGTACTTGGCTTGCTTCCATATCTTGGCTATTAGAAGTAACACTGCAATAAACATAGGGGTGCCTATATCTTTTCAAATTAACATTTTTGTTTTCTTCTTCCAGAGCAGAATTCCTGGATTACACAGTACTTCTATTTTTAATTTTTTGAGGAACCTCCATACTGTTTTCCATAGTCATTGCACTAATATACATTCCCACCAACAGTGCATGAGGGTTCCCTTTTCTCCACAACCTCACTAACACTGTTATTTCTTGTCTTTTTTATAATAGTCATCAGCCATTCTGTCTGTGGGAGGTGATGTCTCATTGTGATTATAATTTGCATTTCTCTGATGATGAGTGATGTTGAACATCTTTTCATGCGTCTCCTGGCCATCTGTATGTCTTCTTTTGGAAGAACGTCTATTCAGGTGCTCTGCCCAATTTTTAATCAATTATTTGGGGTTTTTTGGAGTTGAGTTCTATGAGTTCTTCATATATTTTGGATATTAACCCCTTATCAGAGATATCATTTGCAAATATCTTCTCCCATTCAGTAGGTTTCCTTTTTGTTTTGTTGATGGTTTCTTTTGCTGTGCAGAAGCTTTTTGCTGTCCCAATAGTTGAGTTTTTGCTTTTTTTCTCTTGCCTGAGGAGACAGATCCAGAAAAATATTGCTAAGGGCACCGCCCAAGAGCTGACTGCCTATGTTTTCTTTTAGGAGTTTTTTGGTTCCAGGTCATACATTTTCGTCTTCTATCCATTTTGAGTTTATTTTTGTGTATGGTGTAAGAAATGGTCTGGTTTCATTCTTTTGCGTGTTGCTGACCAGTTTTCCCAAAACTACCTACTGAAGAGATGGTCTTTTCCCCAGTGTACATTCTTGCCTCCTTGGTCATAGATTTACTGACCATGTAAGTGTGGGTTATTTTCTGAGTTATCTGTCCCATGCAACTGATCTACGTGTCTATCTTTGTGCCAGGACCATACTGTTTGAGTACTATAGCTTTGCAGTGTATTCTGGATTCTGCGGTTGTGATACCTCCAACTTTGTGCTTCTTTCTCCAGATTGCTGCCATTCAGGGTCCTTTATGGTTCCATATAAATTTTAGGATTGCTTGTTCTGGTTCTGTGAAAAGTACTACTGGTATTTTGATAGGGACTGCATTGAATCTGTAGACTGTTTTAGGTTAGTATGGACATTTTAACAACATTAATTCTTAACAGTCCATAAGTATGGTCTATCTTTCCATTTATTTGTGTCATCTCCAATTTCTTTCATCAATGTCTTATAGTTATCAGAGTATAGGTCTTTCACCTCCTTGGTTAAATTTATTCCTAAGTATTTTATTCTTACTGATGTTATTGTAAATGGGATTGTGTTCCTAATTTCTCTTGCTGCTAGTTCATTATTACCATATAGAAACCCAACAGATTTTTGCATATTAATTTTGTATCCTGCAACTTTACTGAATTCATTTATCAGTTCTAATAGTTTTTTAGTGGACTCTTTAGGCTTTCTCTATATAATACCATGTCATCTGCAAACAGTGACAGTTCTACTTCTTCCTTACCAATTTGGATGTCTTTTATTTTTTTTCTTGACTGAATGCTGCAGCTAAGACTTCTAGTACTATGTTGAATAAAAGTGGTGAGAACTGACATCCTTGTCTTGTTCCTAGTCCTAGAGAAAAAGCTTTTGGCTTTTCACCATTGAGTATGATGTTAGCTGTGGGTTGCTGGAATTTTTTAAATTAAATTTATGTTACTTTTCTGCAATCAGAAAACTGTATTTTATTTTTAGATATATCATTTTCCAAATGATTATCATTACCCCACAGCACAAAGAATATTTGTGCATAGGTTCTACTAAAATAAGCCAACAAAAAGTAGTCTTTCCCCAAAAGAGACCATACTTTTTATATAATCAGGAATACGATTCAGCCAAACAGGGCGCACAGAGTAGAAGTGCCAGTCATCCCACTTATACTAATTGTCCTAAATTTAAGCATATGTCCCAGTGTTCTTTGGAATTCTTTAAAGTCCCCTATTTGAAAGAAAAGCTACAAAGGTAACTGTGAAAGCAGTTCACATCATGATTTGGAATTCCTATGACCTTCTTCCTGGCGAGTGCCTCCCTTCTCTGGCCTAGGATTAATTAAAATAAAAAATAAGTTAACAGGCAGAAATTGGAAAACACAGAGAAATCTGACCTAGTTCAATCAAACAGCCATTCTGCCACTTTACCCTGAACTCAAAAATCAACCAGGATCCAGACATTGCCCTCACTGGTTTCCACCCTCTAATTATGAGACACCTTCTTTTCTCATGTCTGAGAAGCAAACCTGACCATTCACTTTAAGAGAGGAAAACACAAAGGATTTTATCGGCAACCAGGCAACTACTTCAAAGAGGGAAATCTTATGACTTCTGTTACATTCTTTGGAGCAGAAATGATTGACAGTAATGAGAAGGCCCATGATGGGGTTATGATTAACTCCATCACCCTACTGCAGACCAGTCAACGGGCAGGCTTCTCTTTGTTCTTTAATACCAATATCAAAGAGCTAGGCTGTACAATTTTGAGATAACAATTTATTTCTAAAAATAGCTCTACAATCACTTAATATTCATAATGTGTAATATTTATCTTTATGGTAAAGGTGCGCACTCCTCTTGGAGTTACATGCTTGATAATCGCAGGCTGTTGATCAACCTTTTCCCCATAACAGAGGAAATGTCAACGTTTTGATGTGTTTAGGGAGCTTCAGACTGGTAGAAGAGGAATACTGTGCCCTAATTTCGGGAGAGTGGTTACGGAAGGCTCTCTGAGGAACTAAATACTTGCAGAGATGAGGAGGAGAGGCTGGGGAGGGAGAGAAACCCCCATCATCTAAGCAGAGGGAGGGTCATACACAATGGCCTTAAAGCATGAAAGGATTAGGCTATTCAGATGATTGAAAAGCCCATGTGGCCACAGAATAGTGGGTAAATGGGAAACTAGAGACTGACCAGGAAAATAACACAGCATAAAGTAACACTGTAGACGAGACAGGGGCCAAACATACAAGATGTGTAAGTCAAGGAAAGGTTTAATGGGAAGCCAGTTGAAGGGTTTGAAATACACAGTGATCGGGGGGCAGAGCAAGATGGCGGAGGAGTAGGAGACCTAGATTTCGTCTGGTCTCAGGAATTCAGCTGAATAGGGATCAAACCATTCTGAACACCTACGAACTCAACAGGAGACCGAAGAAGAGAGTAGCAACAACTCTCTGAACAGAAAAGTGACCACTTTCTGGAAGGTAGGACGTGCGGAGAAGTGAATCCGAGGCGATATTCGGGAGGATAGACGGCGGGGGAGGGGCCTCCGCCGGCCGCTTCTGGCAAGTGCTAGAGCCGCGGAGCACAAAATCGGACCGTTTAGAAGTTGGCTCCGTGGAGGGACGTCGCTGCAGTGGCTAAGCGGGGGG